CAGGGAATTGGCAGGGGGGGACGAGACACCGGCATAGCTCTTTGATATAAACCGACGAATTTGCAATTAATTGAGCACTAAAGGCAAAGCTTTACTTGTTGTGTTCTTCGATTGGCTGTTTGTGATTTGCCGCCGTTGACCTCGTGACGTCAGCGTCGCAGTCGCAGTCGCAGTCGTCGTTGGCGTCGCTGCTTGCGGGTGGCAGCAACAAATGAGCGCACGAGCCATAAATTAATTATGTTTGTATTACAACTGTGTTTACATATGTATCAATGATTGAGTGAGTGTGTGTGTGTGTGTGTGTGTGTGTGTGTAAAAAACAAATAAAACGAGCTAGAAGAAGAAGAAGAGGAAGAGAGAGTGCAGCATGTTGCCCAAATAAATTACGCATACGTAAACAGTAAAACAACAACAACAACAACAACTGCACTACCAAAATCGTAGGCAAATGAAGAGCCAACAAACAGAAGCAAAACAAATGCTTGGAAAGCAGCATTAAAATTCGATGCTAATTAGCAACAACAACAACAACAATAGCAACAACAACAATAGCAACAGCAAAACAATAACAAAAATCAAAGCAGAAAAAAGAAAAGGCAAGGACAAAGCGCAAATAAAATCAATAGGCCATTACGACTCATGGCAAGCCCCTGCAAAGTCTAAAGCAATTTTCTAGAATTTTAATAGATTGTGATATATTGCGCGTAACTGTAAATTGAAAGAAATTTGTATGAATTTGTGAAATATTGTGCGGAACTTAAATTGAATTAACAAAAAAATATATACACATAGTTTAACTGCCTTTGGAATTGGTGTGGAAATGCGAAAATAATAAAAACTATGAGCACATTGGATAGAAAAACAGTTTTTGGGAATAAATAGGCTAAGTGAAAAAATATGCAAAAAAAAAAAAAAAATAAATAAATAAATAAAGAATGTTTTAGATAAATGTATAGAAACAGATTAATAAAATGATACAGAAATGAATACAACAAATTTAATTTAATAAAAAAATAAAAAATAAATTAAAAAAATAATAAATGAACGAATGATAATAAATAAAAATAATTATTTAAAATTTTAAAAATTAAAGAAAAATGCTTATATTAATAAGTAATTTTTTTATAGAACATATAAATACAAAAGCTTAAAAAATATGCTAAGGGAATATATACTTTCACATATAATAATCCAAAATGACGTTTTTTTCCTTGATTTCAAAGAACTCCCTCGATTCTCAGATATCTCGAAAATTGCCTAATCAAGCTCCAACAATGGCAACTTCAGTTCAACGCAGAGTTGTGTCTTTATCAGTTGAAAGATAACTGAACAAAAGTATTTATTGAGAAAATGAAATGCATATCTAGTGCAATAAGTGCTAATTGTTGTTGTTGTTGTTGTTGTCGTTGTTATCGATGTTGCGTAAATATAGACAACTTTTGTATACCCTAACCGAGTTGAGCACTTAAGTTAAGCATGCGATATTTAATAGGGCATGGGAAATGATAATATGATAATGTGCTGGGCACAAAAAAAAAAGAGAAAAACACACAAAAAAACTTAACGCAACGGAAGCGAAACCAAAGAAAATAAACAAGAGGGAGGGAGAGAGAGAGAGAGAGCGAGAGTGAGACGGCTAGCTTGTCTTGTTGTAAGGTGTTGCTTGAGTTTTTATGCCTGCCCGGCAGAGAGGAAATTGCCGTTTTAATAGTTTTTTAATTAGGTACCAAATGTTAAGTGTGCACCACTGTGTTCTGCTTCTGCCTATAATGGTTGTTGTTGTTGTTGCTGCTTTGAGCAGTGTGGACGAGCGAGACCGACTGCTTGTTGCATAACCTGACACCCGCCTACCCCCCCAACTGCTGAGCCCTCAGGCACACTTCATTTGCATCACGTGCACATTTCACACATCTCTGTCTGTCTCCCAACCCAACCCAACCTCCCGCCCGTCCGTCCGTCTGTCGTCTGGCACCTGACAGGCTCTGGGAAAGGCATCACAGATCTATTTGCGCCCACCAAGATGAGTAAGCAGCCGCAGAGTCAGCCGAAGTCAAGAAATTCAAATCCATTAAGTACGTTTTATAAATAAATCAACGACTACTAACCGCATGGCCCAGTGGAAGATACATAGCTCTATATGTATATACATGTGCACACTCTCTATATACAGTCGGCACACTTTGTCAGTCGGAAAAAAGTGCTTCAATTTCGACTCGTAAAAATTATTCAAGTGTACAGCAGAAAAACAGGGAACAGACACCAAAAAAGAAAAGAAAAAGAAGCTAAAAACGAATCGAATGAAATTACGCACGAAAAAATATCTTGAAAATGCCATAAGTTAGACACTCACACACACACACGCTCAGCTGCAGCCTCTCTCTATGTGTGTGTGTGTGGGACTCAAGCGATCTGTTTGGGCATATTGGTTGAGGTGTTCTATAGGCGGCGCAGCATTTTGTCTGCATCAAATTGATTTGGGAAATAAACATTTTACGTATTTTCCACAAAGCACAAAAATAAAATTTCTGAATGACTTAAAATAGATCTAATTGAATTGAGATAAGAAAAAGATAATAAATAACATTTCAAGTTTAAAGAAAAAGACAAAAAAACAAGAAAGAAAGCTCTAGTCGAGACTGCTCGACTACGAGATCCCCTGAACCCTACAAGCACCTGATATTTCAATAATAATTAGCACACACACACACACACACACACACACACGCATACAAACAAACACACACACACACACACACGCATACAAACAAACACACGCACACACATACCCATACAAAAAAACACACGCATACACACACACTCACATATACAGGCGATTGCGCTTGGGTTGCGCTG